GAGCCCAGGAGCTGGAGGTTGCTGTGAGCTGTAATGCCACGGCACTCTGCCCAGGGGGACAGCTTGAGGCTCTGTCTCAAAAAAAAAAAAAAAACTTATACTGTCTTTGTTTAAATTATATTCATACTCAAGTGCTCAATTCAAAAGAGCTGCCTTCATGCAATCTTGACTTTTTCCTCCTGGCTTTTCTATGACCCTTTGGGCTTTTTCTTGGTACCAATGCTCCTATTATGTAATGATCCTTTTTGTACTTTTCTTATCTCTCCTAAATTGTGATCTCCTTAAGGAACTGAGTCTTATGCAAGTCTTTTTATTCACTTTGTATAATTCCTTGTTCATAATAGGTGGTCAAGGTGGCGCCCGTGGTTCAGTGGGTAGGGCGCTGGCCACATACACCGAGGCCAGTGGGTTTGAACCCAGCCTGGGCCAGCTAAAGCAACAATGACAACTGTAACAAAAAAATAGCTGGGCATTGTGGCAGATGCCTGTAGTCCCAGCTACTTGGGAGACTGAGGCAAGAGAATTGCTTAAGCCCAAAACTTGGATGTTGCTGTGTGCTGTGATGCCACATCACTCTACTGAGGGCAACATAATGAGACTGTCTCAAAAAATTTAAAAAAGGTAGTGAATATGTATTTGTTTAAGAAATAATAGTCAAATAAGGAACCGAACCAAAGTTTATTTCATTAAGACATAAAAGCTTGGCTCAGCGCCTGTGGCTCAAGCGGTTGAGGTGCCAGCCACATTCACGTGGGTCTGGGCTGGATTTGAACCCGCCACCTTAGGTGTATGTGTATGTGGCTGGCGCCTTAGCCACTTGAGCCACAGGTGCCAAGCCTTTTTTTTTTTTTTTTTGCAGTTTTTGGCTGGGGCTTGAACCTGCCACCTCTGGCATGTGGGACCGGTGCCTACTCCTTTGAGCCACAGGCGCCGCCCTAATTCAGATGATTTTAGAACATATAGGTGTTTCTCCTTGGTACTCCATGTTTACTTCTCTAACTGGATAAGGAATGTATCCATCTGGATATCCTACTAACACATTTAAATGTGAGCTTGACATTCATTGTTTGCCTGATACCAGTTTTCACGGTTTACCTCCCTGGTTGTACTAATGGTAGGAACCTCTCTCAGTTAGCACAGATACTACCTTTGAAATGTCTTTTAGAGCCATCTACTCCTTTCCATGTGCTACTAACACATTATTCCAACAGGTGGTATTAATAGCTATTATTTATTAGTGCTTTTTAATTATTACCTTATTAATCCAGTACCTGGATTGGTAAGCATATATTAAAGCATATATTATCTCCATTAATCCTCCCTACATTGCTCTGTAGTGTGCCTTTTGCAAATGAGGGAATTGAGGATTATGAGGATATAAGATTTGCCCAAAGATATTCCACCTCTTGTTTTTTCAGTATATATATCTTATACAGTGTTGCCAGCTAAAGTATATGTATATATTATAAAAATAAATAAAATCTAAAATTACTACCAATTGCTTAATGAATAAAGAGCTGATGATAGTACTGTTTCCTTGTCCTCACTTTTTGGACCTTTATCCTGTCCAATTTCCAATCTTACCTTCCTTCGTATATGTACTACATTTTAGCCAAACTGAACTGTGTGCTGTTTCGAGAGAGCATGTATATTTTTGTTTCATCTTGTTTTTGCTGAAGCCCTAGCCCTTTAAAACTTATACTGTCGGCTCGACGCCTATAGCTCAACCAGCTAAGGCGCCAGCCACGTACACCTAAGGTGGCGGGTTCGAATCCCCAGCCCGGACCCGCCAAACAACAATGACGGCT